AGGGGAAGAGGGGCTGTCCTAGGGAAGAAGGTCGGTCCTAGGAGAAGAGGGGGTGTCACAGGGGAAGAGGGGGTGTCACAGGGGAAGAGGGGCTGTCACAGGGGAAGAAGGGCTGTCATAGGGGAAGAGGGGCTGTCCTAGGGAAGAAGGTCTGTCCTAGAGGAAGAGGGGGTGGCCTAGGGGAAGAGAGGCTGTCACAGGGGAAGAGGGACTGCCCTAGGGGAAGAGGGGCTGTCACAGGGGAAGAAGGGCTGTCAAAGGGGAAGAAGGGGCTGTCCTAGGGAAGAAAGTCTGTCCTAGGAGAAGAGGTGGTGTCACAGGGGAAGAGGCGGTGTCCTAGGGGAAGAGGGGCTGTTCTAGGGGAAGAGGGGCTGTCACAGGAGAAGAGGGGCTGTCCTAGGGGAAGAAGGTCTGTCCTAGGAAAAGAGGGGGTGTCACAGGGGAAAAGGGGTGTCCTAGGGGAAGAGGAGGTGTCACAGGGGCAGAAGGGGTGTCACAGGAGAAGAGGTGGTGTCCTAGGGGAAGAGGGGCTGTTCTAGGAGAAGAGGGGGTGTCACAGGGGAAGAAGGGGTTTCACAGGGGAAGAGGAGCTGTCCTAGGAGGAACGGGACCATTCTAGGGTAAGAGGGTATGTTACAGGGGATGAGGGGGTGTCTCAGGGGAAGAGTGGGTGTAACTAAGAGGCGCTGTCCTAGGGGAAGAGGGGGTGTCCTAGGGGAAGAGGGGGTGTCACAGGGGACGAGGGGGTGTCTCAGGGAAGGAGGGGGTGTCCTAGGGGAAGAGGAGCTGTCACGGAGGGGAGGGGCTGTCCCGGGGAGGGCTGTGGCGCGGGGTTGATGGACAGCAGGCGGGATCTCCGGGAGGGACGCGTAGAGCGGGGCCGCCACTGGGAAGGGGCTTGGGGCAAGGGACCAGGAATCAGAGAGGACGGGAGGCAGGAGTTCGTGGAGGAGCGCCGCCGGGAAGGCCTGAGGGGCAAGGGTGACGCCGACTGGACGAGGCCGACGGGAGAGGGAGGGGAGCGGCGCCGAGATCCCTCAGGGCCGGCTCTGGGCTCACCTGGGGCGGATGGGCGGGGCGCGGGTCCGCGAGGGCCCAGATTCCTGGTCGGCGGAGGCCGCGGGAACTCTCGGGTGGCCCAGCGGGCCGGGGTTTGCCGTCGACAGTTCCAGACGGCCGGGCGGAGGACTCCCCTGAGGGCGAACGGCCCGTGAACGCGCGCGGAGCTGCTCGCGCCAAAAATTCCAAACCGGCCTCGAGGCCCCGCCCAGGAACGCCTTGTGTCCGCCCCCTCTCCAGCGCAGCCCGTCACGGGCGTCCAGGCTCCGGGGATCCGCCCCTCGTGGTGCGTGCGCGCCGCGGAGCGGTTCCCCCCTCCCCTTTCCGGCCGCTCACTGCGCAGGCGCAAAGGGTTCTCTGCGCCTGTCCGGGGAGTGGGCAGCGGCCTTGGGGAGAGGAGCTGGGCGGGGCCTCACCCGCCCTGGAGTGCCTCCCGCCGAGTCCCCGGGACGCCCATTGCCCTCCGGGCCCCACCG